TGGGTGTGTGGGTGTGGGTGTGGGTGGGTGTGGGTGTGTGTGGGTGTGGGTGGGTGTGGGTGTGGGAGCGGGTGGGTGTGGGTGTGGGTGACGAAAACAAGAACAACCGCACCATACACCCACCCCCACCCCCACCCCCACACCCCACCCACACCCACACTCCACCCACACCCTACAGTTAGTTTCCAATGTATTTTTACGAACTTTTGATATGAAAAACAAACCTTTGAGCTTGAGAATAAAAAATCTATTTTTTCATCTCTATAATTAACTACAAACTATAGTTAGATTTCAGTGCATTCACACGAACATTTGACATGAAAACAAAATCTATGAGCTGGAAGATAAAATTTTTCTTCTTCAATTGACAAAGTTAATTACGAACTACAGTTAGATTTCAATGTATTTTTACGAACATTTGAGATGAAAAGTAAACCTTTGAGCTGGAGAATAAAATAAATCTTTCTTTTTCATCTCTATAATTAACTACAAACTATAGTCAGATTTCAGTGCATTCACACGAACATTTGACATGAAAACGAAACCTATGAGCTGGAAGGTAGAACTTCTTTTTCTTCAATTGACAAAGTTAATTACGAACTACAGTTAGATTTCAATGTACTTTTACGAACTTTCGATATGAAAAACAAACCTTTGAGCTAGGGAATAAACTTTTTGTTCAATTCATCTCTTCAATTACAAACTATTGATAAACTGAAACATATTTCTACGAATATTTGAGCTGAAAAATAAACCTTTGAGCTGAAAAACAGAAAAATTTTCTTTTCAATGTATTCAATTGATTACAAACTATAGTCAGATTTCAATGTAGTTTCACGAACATTTGACATGAAAAACAAATCTTTGACATAGATCTCAAACAAAAGTTTTTATTGTGATGATTTGAATTATCCAACATAATCATATAAGTTACTATGAAAAAAGGTTGTGCTTTAACTTGTCAAAAATAAGAGATTGTATTTGTAAACCCTAGTCTCAATCCTGCTCATTCCTTGAGAAACCCTGGAAGGATCTTTCAGGATCCTGAATATCAAGGATCCTATCAAGTTTTATTCAGGATCCTGTTTCAAATCCTGGTAATTCCTGTTTCCAGGATTTTTCAAGGTGAAACAGAATCCTGTTCAGGATTTCTTCAGGTTCCTGCTTAGATTTTTTGTTTGAGTTGAGAATATAGGATCCTACCAGGATTTACTCAAGATCCTACTAATGATCCTTTCAAGATTATGACAGAGGATTCTGCCAAGATTTCATCAGGTTTTCGTCACGTTCTAGATCAAATCTCCGTATCAGTCAGGATCCTGTCAGGACTGATATTCACATCAGACGAGGATCTTGGCAAGAAAATAACAAGATTAGTCAAAGCACGAAGCCGACTAATCCTGCAAAGTTTCAATCAGGATCTTATTCAGAATCTTTCAAGAATATGCGTTTCCACGTTTTGCAAGACAGTATCAATTTTAATCAGGATCTTGATGAGAAAATATGAGGATTTAGCAAAGACCTTTACAGAACACTACTTAGTTTCTTCAGTCGTGTCTATTTCTTGAGACAACCTCGAAGGATCTTTAACAATAATAAATCTTAAGGATCCGGTCAGGTTTGATTTAAGATTCTATCCAGAATTGGTTCAAGTTCTTGCTCGGATTTTTTTTGTATCGATATTGTAGAATCCTATCAGGATTCACTTTCGATCCTATTCAAGAATCTGACAAAAGTCATAAGGAGGATTTCATCAAGATTTCATTAGATTTGAATCAAGATCTGTTCTGGATCCTGATACAAGGATCCTGTTAAGAGTTATGTTATATCAGAGAAGGATCTTACCAGGAATAAAACAAGATTAGTGAGAATCCTCAACTGAATAATCCTGCCAAGCTTCGATCAGGATCCTTCGAGAAACTATTCAAGAACAGAAATTTCGAACCCTTAAAAAAAGAACAAGTATGAGCAGGATGTTGCTAGAAAAATACGAGGATTCAGTTAAGATCTTTCCAGATTTGTGTTTAGAGACTATTCAAAACGTAGTTTTCAGGATGCTGTCATGAACCTAGCAAAAATGAATGAAACACCTCCTTCACGTTATTAGCTAGGTTTAGATTAGGATCAGTTCAAGATTTGTAAATCTATAGATCACAACAGAATATCAATACCAATGTTGAGCACAATCTCAACAAAAGTAAATACAAGGTTTTTTAAGATGTTATTGGATTTTTATTTGGAATACGACAAAATTCTGATAGCTGAACAATCTACTAGCATTTCTATTCTGATCCTGATTTGGTACTTTTAATAAAGAAGTAGAAGGAATCTTAAAAATCTCAGAAAAATATTTTCTAAACCTCTTTAAAATTTCTATAAAAGTTGCTTTGAGATTCGAACTACAATATTGCGTTCTTTTTTATCTTATCAGGAAAATAAAATTGAAAATCATTAAATTAGGGTGTTAATTTGAATTTAGTTATCGTAAAATTTTTTCGTTAAATATATAATTTTAATCAGTAGCAAACGTTTTGATAAAAACTACTTACAGTCTTCATTATGTTCGAAAAAAAATTTCAAATATTTTTTTGAACCAAATTGAAATAAATTAATTCTAAATATATTTTTTCAATCGAATCAAAATTTTAAAAAATCCAAATATATTTTTTAAATCAAATCGAAATAAAAATAATTCGAAATATATCTTTTAAATCAAATCGAAATAAAAAGATTCGAAATATATTTTTTAAATCGAGTTTAAATTCTCAAAGATGATAAAGTTCCATCAACTAAAATAAATATGTAAAATAATACTTCATTTTCGGAATTTTGTTGAAATAATTTCTATGTACATAAAATTCAAATATAAGTTTACATTAAAGTCAGAAATGAAGATATTGAACGTTGAAATGATATAGAATGACATGGCACATCCAGCTGGGTAAGCTGATCGGTATGTAAACTGAAGGTCTAGAGATCAATACTCTATGTGTTCATCTCATTTATATTCTATTTAGAAAATCCTGCAAAGATCCTGCCAAGAAATCTAATAACATTCTGGAAGAAATCTTGATAAATCTTGACAAGATCTGATCAGAAAATATGATAATATACTAGACGAAACCTACTAAGATTCTGAAATATGTAAACAGAATTTTTTCATTGGGAATCATCAAAATCCTGGCAAGATCCTTCTAAGATCTTCTTTGAATCCTGCACAAATCTTGAAGATTTCTTTGCTACGCGTTTCTTTCAGGATTTCGGATTTTCTGACCAGATTCCTAATTTTAAATCCGGTGATAAACTGTTCAGGATCTTGCTTAAATCCGATTCTTAATCCTGCCAGGATCTTGAAATTTCACGGCTACACTCTTCTTTCAGGATTTATCGATTTCCTGAAAGGTTCTTAGTGCAAAAGCAGTGATAAACCTGGAAGTATCCTAGTTAAATCTTGTTTCAATCCTGTGAGGATCTTGAAATTTCACGGCTACACGCTTCCTTCAGGATTTTATCATTTCCTCAGGAAAAAACAGCAAAATCCTTGCAGGATCCTTGACGAATCTGTGAAGGATCTAGAAAGAAAACATCAAAGATTTTCCCTAGGGAATAAATGTTTACAACGGCAGTAAAACATACGGCAATAAATCCTGTAATCCCTTTGAAACGCGAACTAAAACAAAAAAGTAGCGCGATATTTTTGACGTCCACTGTAGTTGCGTAGGATCCTCTTTCGGTATCGTTGTATTAGAATTCCACGGATATTTTGTGGTAATCGAGCTCATAAACTTTAGTTTCCTATACGAAAAAACTGTGCACGAAGGTGTCAGATAAACGAGAGTGAGGAAGAATCGATAGATTTTGAAGTGATTGAAAAATGCGAACCGTATGTTGTAGTTCTCAAGCATAGCTGACTGTCAACTAATATTTGCAGGTGCGAGTGTTCTCTGGATATCACTCTCACGAGCTTTGAATCAATAAACACCTCTGATTCTATATATAATCTCTATTCACTTACAGCACATTAATACACTACATTAGTCAGGCCTCGTCATATCTTGCTGCCACTATGCATCTATTTCTTATTATTACTGCAATTATTATTGCTACCGGTGTGTTCATCCTAATTTTTAAATAGAATCATAAATCTTTCTTCAATCTTTTATGTTTAGTCAACGGTCAAGAGCACTTTCCACCTGTTGCCTATAATGTCGCTTGTGTCACACAAGGATTTCATTCTGGTCACCAAGCTATTGATATTGGATCATATGGTGGTAAACGAGTTGACTTATTCGCAATCTGGGATGGTACAGTAACTGCTACCTGTAATGGAGCCGGAGATTTTGATCGAAATCGATGCGGAGATTGTGGTAACTATGTGAAAATTCGGCATAATACAGTGGATGTTCTCTATTGCCATCTGGCATCTGGTTCATTGACTGTATCGCCTGGTCAAAGAGTAGCTCGAGCACAAAAAGTGGGCGTTATGGGCACGTCAGGTCTATCGACAGGTGTTCATCTTCATGTACAAGTGACAGAAATCAATGGTGGCCAAGCACGAGATATCAGAACTCGTCTCGGATTGAATGGCTGGCCAACTTGTTAGTAGCAAAAATTATCGAAATGCTTGAAATATATATTTATATTCATCAGTTTCATCAATAAAACTACCTGTCTATATACTCGATAATTGATCATCAGAAAAAAGCTAGTAAAAGGGCCGCGCGAGCAAGAAACATGTTTGGCCTGCACGTATCCTCAATCCATATGACTAATTGTAGATGTGACTACATGGGGAAAGCAAGACACCCATGCTCTCAAGAAACGTCCGATACTGAAGGTAACAAGTTCTCGAAAGAGGTATTCACAGCATCAAAAGAAGGTGAGGGTGATGATGAGGATAATTCTCTTTTGTCCACCCTTACTGTCAATCCTACCAATCCTCTCATCTACGTTTTGATGCTCGCTTTTATGAAGCTGATATATTTTTAGAAAAAGATTTATGAAAATGCAACCTACAGTGTTGGTGTGAGGTATGGATGTCGCTATGTTGTATTCTAACACCCATACTCACACCCAAGATTCGATCAACGGTTCACCCCAACGGGCGATGAACCTATGGGACTTCATGATCCATGAATTATATAATCATTCTATACTGTTATCCATCCAAATACTCACTATTGTTTCATACGAAAATGTAAGCAATTGCTCACATTGTGTGGATTCAATATAAAACAGCGCGTTTGATTTGCTTTATCTTATCATTAAATGATGATAAATCCATTGGAGAGTCTAATGGAGCAAAATAAATCTTCATTATTAATATTTTTGACAATCGTTGTAATAAAAGTAACAAATAATGCGGCTCTTTTAACTTGCATGAAAGCTGTTCAATGTTTGAAAATACTTCACAAAATTCATCTGTATTTGTATCACCAATGGATAAATTGAAAAAATTCTGTAAAGATAACTTTTTAATCATTTCATTTAAATATTTGCACAATTCAGCATTACGAAACAGCCATCCTAAACCGTCTGAAGCAATGTTCAATGATGATTATTGTGGTACTTGTTTTAATATTTCCGATAATAAAAATGACAGATCTACCTCAAAAAAGCTTGTCAAAGTCAGGTGTTTTAGATTAAATATATTAACCAACATTTTCAGATCTCGGATGTGTTCTTTTCCTATGAAAACACTGTTTTCATATTCCGAAGAGTTTAATATATGCAATTTAAGTGTTGTCACATTTCTCAAATAATGTTGCTTCTTCTCTTACATCCAGAAGAAAAAAACGTTGCATCTGTTATATTATCAAATATTTCCGATTTTTTTCGACAGAAATTTTTTTACAAACTGCAATAGTTGATGTAAAAGGTATTGTATAAGTGATTGCTTGAGTTGAATTATATGAATATTCAGTATACCAATGATGTTCTTCTCTCCAAAAATCACTTTGAAATTTTGCTAACTTATCAGAAATAGGATCAATTTCCACACCTAAATAAATCCATATGAATTCAAACTTAACCCTTTCTTTCCTATGACTGAAGTTTAAGGCCTGGAACTGAAATTCGTCCAGCATTGTGATCACAATAATCCCTAATATGCACACAAAAAGTTTGATTCACATCATTCGTTAACACTCTCTTAAGGCATGACTATAGCACATGCCATAACACAGTATATTTGTCTGAGTAGCAAATAAAGATTTTATAAAGAATTTTATGTTCAGATTATTGATATAAAATCTATAATAGATATGCCTTAAATTGCAAGAAAATGAAACTTTAAAAGATGGTACCTATAGGTGCCATTCGGAAAGAAAGGGTTAAGTTCCGAGTTTGATAACATTCTGATGCAAAACTGATCACGTATCGTCTTTCGAACTTGTTCGAAATTAATCAGTAATAAAATACTATGAATAAGTTTATTGAAACGATCATTCAAACGATAAAATGAATAATGAATATCGAAACATTCAATAAATATTTCATTGGGTTTTAATTCCAATTTTGTGATTGCTTGCATTTTGTTAGTGATCGAAAGAACGAACATTTCTAGTTTTTAACCCTTTTTTTATACAGAAGAAATGTGTACAATGTGTTTGTCGTTATGTATTTTTTGACACATGTATTCAATTCTATATTACACATTAAAAAGAATCCTATTGGTTTGTTTCAACTCGTCAACGATGATTAACTTCTTTCGTTTCTGATGAAACTGAACAGAGAACAATGGACAAATAGAAAAAGCACCAATGATCTTTGTTTTTCGATTGCTTGATTTACAACTCGAAATCTAAAAGAAATGATCCTTCGGAGATCTTGTCTGTTGAACTATAATAGATGAATTCTAGAAGATCTGCATAAACACACGATAGTTGCAACACATTACACATGAGGACACATTTTTCACTGGCCTATAATTATAGATCTTTATTTATTCATCAAAGCAATTCTAGATCGACATAAATCAATGAGAGCATTTACAAAAAAGTCAAAATCTGGTAAGGTACTACGATGATTGGTAATACAGACTCGAATATGAAGACGATCTTTGAGTCGTGTTGTTGATGGAACAGCAATACCTTTTTCTTGTAAATCATTGACGAGTTCATCATTAAATATATCGACAGTTTCTGGATCACTATTCTTCAATGCATCAGGTTCCACTCGAAAATTGACAATGTTAAGTGAGACAGGAGTAAGTACTTGAATAAAATCATACTTAGACAATAAGTTAGCTAAATATTGAGCTTGATCACAATTGGCTGCAATTGACTGACCCAGTCTTATTATTCCATGTTCTTTAATAGTGAACCAAACTTTGAGAGCTCTACATGGTCGTGAAAGTTCAATACCCATGTCACAAAACCAAGGAGTATCACCAGCAAAACCTCGTTTGGTACCTACCAAATAGTTACGAGGCGATGAAAAAGTGGCATTTAGCATGGAAATTTGACGTAAGAGAACGCATCCAGCTGCATAAGGTGTATGTAACCATTTGTGAAAATCGAATGCCAACGAATCGGCTTCCGATAGTCCATCAATCAAATGTCGTCGACTTGGATCGAGAACTACAAAACTTCCGAATGCTCCATCAACGTGAAACCAAATGTTGTTTTCTCGAGCTACAATTGACAAAGCAGATAAATCATCGAAAGCACCAGTACTCACAGTGCCTAAAAAGAAATTCAAAATATTATTATAATAAATATTTCTTTCTATCAAAATAAACAAAAACTTCTCAAGATTGTTTCTGATATATTCTATGAACATACCTGCATTTCCGACGATACAAAATGGTACAAATCCTTGTTGACGATCCTCTTCAATCATTATTTTGAGTGCTTCAATATTCATACGATATTCCTCGTCAACAGGTACTAATCTGAGTGCTTGAACACCCAATCCTAATAATTCAAGAGCTTTGGCTACACATACATGTGTTTGTGTTGAAGCATAAGCGACTAATTGAACACCTAATGTAACTAAACCATCTTGTCGTACTTTGTTGAGAGCATGATAACGTGCTACAGCTAAACAAACAACGGCTGCCATTGATGTTCCACTAACGATGATACCACCAGCCGTTGTTTTTGGAAATTGAAATAATTGTTTCATCCAATCGATTACTTGTCGTTCAATAAGTACCCCACTATGACTACAGAGACCTACATTTGAATTCATTGCTGCTGTCATCATTTCAGCGATAACACCTCCTACTGTACCAGATCCATGGACCCATCCCCAGAATCGAGGATGCGTATTACCACCAGAATAAGGTAAAACATCATCAATTATATCTTGACAAACATCAGTCATTGGTTTTCCATGTTCAGGCAGAACTTCGGACATAATTCGATGTCGCACTTCATTTGGCAATGGTATCCAAGCAGGTCGATCACGAGCCTTTTCGATGAAATCCAACGAAATATCAAGCATCTTATGAGCTTCAGCACGTGCTGATTTCCAATCAGTTGGATCTAAACTTGCTGTAAGAGATGCTGCGGATGGTTCTGATGAAGGTTCTATTGAAATCTTCTTCGTGTCATCGACGGAAGGAATCCCAGTGAAATTAGCCAATTGATGAAAATATGTTAATAATAACGAATCTTGTCTAATTATGTTGTCGTCATAATAATCATCCACGCATTGACTCAATTGTCGTAAGATTTGTTCTGTTGTATCTTTAAATTTATCATTCGTCATTAATTTCTCGATCTCCATTCTGATAAAAATGAAATATATGCTTCACTTAATAACGTCGAATAGATTAGTTTTGTTTTAGTATGATTTGTTTTATATTTTTACAGCTCGTTTTTATATACTAATATACAATGAGAGCAATTAGTTAGCAAAAAATGTATAAAAACCACAGGTGCAAAGTTTTTTTTTTGTTAATGATGACAGATGCTCTTTTATTTTTAAAGGTACGCTTATCGCAATGACAAAGAAGAACGATATCGTCAGAATGATATATCTAAGTGCATTATGATATAAAGACATTGTCATGGTTATTCAGCATTTTATACATAAATTATGATATTAAATATAAATGCACTGTCATTAGTTACTCATCATTTCGATGAAAGTTTACGCAAAAACATAAAGTTTTTCCTCTTAATTAATTCTTTAACAAGCATTTTCAAAACCATTTGAAATAGATCGAAATACAAAAAGACTACCAGATAATTTATAACAAAAGAATGAACTTTGTGTTTTGATCACTGATCTTTAAAATAAATCAATAAGCGAATTATTCCTTCAACTAACGAGAAAACTTCACCAACTAATACCCTCGGTTTGAGCTCATATTTTGCTCACGAATATGACTCATTGTGCAGATAAAAACGCTAATAGAGTTTGTGCCCTTGCTACTCTATTTCAGAGAAACAAAGGTAACAAGTTTTCATTATAATAGTATTATTATATGTTTCCTATTAGTTTTGTAATTTTTGTGTTTCAGCACAGGAGTATTTGTCCTAGATGAAAGGTTTTTCAAATTTCTCATATATGTGCCTAGAGTCTCTAAAAGTATGAGCCGTAGCAAAGGAAGTGTTCTATAGATAAAGATGGAAAGGTTTTCTGATTAATTGTTTTTTGTTATCACTGGTACTATTTTGATACATTTCTCAATATGAACAGCACATAACAATATATATCCAGGACTTTTTCTTTAACTCGTCTATGGCATTTGTAAACGTACCAAATACATCGCAGAATAATAGAGGATATAAATGATTTTATTCTTGAGTGTGACGGAAATTAATACAGTTCGTCGTACCTTGTCTTCGTTCTCTATATGTGATAATTTTAATTTTTTCCAATAAAAAATAGATAACTATTTTGTGTACGTTTATCATTTATTTTGGTTGTATGTAAATCAAAATTGGCAGAAAGTTTTGTATCTCCAGATAGAAAACTCTCGTACGAGTAATATTTTTGTAGAGATTGTAGGTATATGTATGAGAAGTTTTGAGAAAAGAATTCCATCTTGGACAAGTACTCCTATGTTGAAACACAAAAATTACAAAACTAATAGGAAACATATAATAACACTATTATAATGGAAACCTGTTACTTTTGTTTCTCTGAAATAGAGCGACAATGGCACAAACTCTTGTAGGGTTTTTATCTACACTATGAGTTCTATCTATGAGCAAAATAGGAGATCAAATGGAGAGGGTATCAGTTGGTGAGGTTCCCTCGTAAGAGTGCGATTGAATGCTTCTAAAAATAGACCTACATCTTTGATTATTGTTAAGCTTAACAAGATGTTTTCGTACGACAATGACTGAATGAAATTTGTCATTTAACAGTCTTGATCTCAGTGTTCTGGATTATCACCGATGAGATGTTATTATCAATAATACACAATAGAATACAATCAAAAACTATAATTTACTAATTGATGAAATAAGAAAAAGAATTGGTTCTCTTTAAAAAAAAACTTATCTTTTCCGCATTGTTTGATACTAATCGCGTAGGATTTTACTTATTCTGAAAATAATCAACAGATATATACGTTAAACATTCTGTTCTTAATAACTTGTAAAGCTTTTGACGTTGCATTGTGTGACATATTTTTTTCTTTTAATAATACCTGCCTACACATAATGCAATATGTGACCATTTATCTTGAATCGTTCATTACATCTTCGCAGGGTGTGGCTGTGGCTGCGGCTGCGGCTGTGGGTGTTTCCATCATTCACACCCACACCCACCCACACCCGCCCATTCCACATTTTCCATCATCTATACTAAATCAAATTCAATTTTACTACAAAACGCTAAGCAGAAATATATGCATATATAACTAATTACTCTATCGATAAAGCACCTCTTGCTACTTTAACATAGTCACATACAAAACATCACTGCCAACTATGGTCAGACAAAAAATTAATTGACATTACGAATACGTACGAACCTCTCAATCTCTTAATGAGATTTTCTCAATGAATGAAAACTATTATTAGTACAAAACCGTCAGTTTCATAAAGCGTGAATTAATAAAAAAATATATATCAAAGTCACGATATACAACATCGCACAAAACAAGCATCAATGTTTATAATCGCAAATGTGATCTCTGCCCGAACCAGTGGGTCTAAAGAAACAACACTTAGTTCGTTCCCCGATATAACCATCACGAGCACGAGCAGCAGCAGCATCAAGAGCACCAAGAGCATAAGCAGCACCAAGATCAGCAAAACGAGCACCAGGATCATTACGAACACGAGTATAACGAGCGGCATCACCATCATAACCAGCACGATAAGCACTACCAGCAGCAAGACCAACAAGACGACCAGGACAATGAGGACCATCAGCATCACCACCACCACGAGCAAGAGCAAGAAGAGTAAGAACATCAGCACGAAGATCAGCAGTAGCATAAAAAGTAGCACCAGGACGATCATAATCCGACCAATAATACACTTTATCATTACGACCGCAACGAGGACAAGCTGGCATTTTGTCTGATGACAGTTTGAAATTGAGCGACTTAGTTGTTTTTGATGAAGCTAAATAACAAAGGTACAATCATTCATAGACATATTAAAAAACTTCAAATTTTGACAAGATGCAGCTATTGAGAAGATGATGATTATATGGAAAAAATCATAGGTTAATATTGAAGATGTGGTGGATATGTAGTATAATCCACACAATATCTGAGAAATGTTTATCAAGAAAACAGCTCATGCACTCTTCAACTTCATGTAACGGATGAAAGTCATGACAATTGTTTTCACATTTTTTCCAACTTTCGTCAATTTCAAGATTCTCTATCAAAACAGTGCTAACGTTTCTTAATATATCTTGCAGTTGAGTTTGGAATCTGGTTGAGAGTGGAATCGCTTACTTCACTTTATTTGTTTAAAAATTTTTCTAACACATATTCAAGAAAACTTGTCTGTTTCTTATCGAATTTTTATTTACTATTACTTCTCGGACAATAAAAAGTATCTTCGTACCGTTATTTTGTTGATGAAAAGCCATTAGTGATTCTGTTTATTGTTTTTTTGTAAAGGTAAATCTTACTTATCATTTTCCTTATAGTGTAGTTTCTATAGCGGTACTCGGGACATGGGGACATTGAATTATTAGTTGAAATGAAATCGAGAGTATTTGAGCTACTTGTTTTTATCAAATAGATTTTTTTTCGATGCTCGTGATATGAGGGATCGAATGATTGGTTAAATGTTTAGTGTTAGCAAATCGTTGTTAAAAAATTGAAATTGAATTATTTACACTATTCATAATAGCAGTCGATCTATTTTTCGATTGATAGAGTAATAATTGGGCTATAAATGGATTGTTGATTATCTATTCGATAGACTTATTGTAAGAAACTTTATCAATGTAAGATTGCAGTTTAGAATTGGAGATGCTCATTTTTTTTGTAAGAGATTCGGATGAAAAAAA